CTTTGGTTTGATATTTTGTGTTGGTTACAACTGGGCAAGAGATGCTTAATGCATGGGAATGCATATTTTTGGTTTGTAAATACAAATGAGAATTCTAGTATTTAGAAGCTCTATTTTATATCCTAATAACTAGGATTAGGAGGTATCAAAAAATAACTAGGATTATGAGTCAGGGGCTAAGGGCTGGAATTTTTGCTCCATCATGTATTTTATTTCAGAATTTAAGAGCGGGTTTGTCTTTTCTCATTCTGTGCATTTATTAACTTCTGTACTTTTAACCTCAAACATCCTGTCCTTAAGTTCAGAGCACACTTATATCGTGTTCAAGAACCTAAGAATATGGTTAATTCATCTTTGAAGCGAGAAATACTGCTTATGGATGATATCCTAGTCTGCTTTGACAAGGCAGTCCTTTTCACTTAACTTTTTTGCTAATTGGAAGCAGAATTTGAGATTCATCACAACAATACACACACACAAACACACATATGTTGTCCTTGCAAATAGTTTTTGTCTGCTTGGCTGTAATGTCTTTTACATTTAACAGTCCTCTTTTATGCATTTACTTACCCATTGCAGGTTTAATGCTACTGACCTCTTGGAGAGACTAAGAGGTAAAAGGCTGATGCTGGTTGGGGACTCCATGAACCGAAATCAGTTTGAGTCAATGTTATGCCTCCTCCGTGAAGGCCTGACCAATAAGAGCAAAATGTACGAGATCCACGGCCGCAAAATAACAAAAGGAAGAGGTTACTTTGTGTTTAAATTTGAGGTAATAAGACGCTTGCTTTATATTTCTTCATTTGTTAAGCTAAATGCCAGAGATATTTAATACACTCTTTTAAGGGCAACATTTTCCTTTAGGATTACTCAAAATCTTGTCTTATAATATTCTTGCCTCTTTGATTAGGTTTCTTGATATTTTGGTAATTAAAGTACATCTTCAAGCATCATTTTCAACCAACCTTTGGACGTCATCAGGCATTTCATGTCTGATTTGACTCAAGAGTAGCTATATTATCCAATATTGTTATCTGCTATTTTATGGAGTGCAGTAATAGACTTATACACTCAATCTTATGTCTCTTTTAAAAGTGTGGCTTAAAGTTTTCTGCATAAAATATTAAGATATTGTAACAAAATTTAATAGGAACTCCATATTTTAAAAGGTCTTTTTACTACAAGATAACACCAAACAGAATATTCAGACACACCTTCCAACCTTGACATCATTTTTTTTTCTCTGATTTTATTTTTTATGTTTTTGGAAAAAAAATTCACTCAGGCAGCAGTTAGTTATTTCAAAGTTGTCTCAACTCTGAAATTTTGGGCAGGACTATGACTGTACAGTGGCTTTTGTAAGGTCACATTTTCTTGTAAAAGAAGGAGTCCGCATTAATGGACAAGGGAACTCAAATCCAACTCTATTGATAGATAGAATTGACAAGTCATCTGGTCGATGGAAGCGGGCTGATATTCTCATTTTCAATACTGGTCACTGGTGGGTTCATGGAAAGACTGCACGAGGGTAGGTGACCAATCTTATGAGCATTATACTTATAACTGTTTTATTTTTATGCTACATTGATGTACTATTCTGATCATTGATTGTCAGAGTCACTGGTTCTCTCCTTTCATGTACACTTATAAATTTGTTCAGTGGAGTTATTTACAAGCATGCATGCAATGCAATCGTGATGAAGTGCTAGTTCAGTTTAGTGTTATAGACTTTTTATGTTATATCTTAGTTCCTCTAAACAATATAGCAATTTTAAGGAGAATGACGAATATGATTAGTTGATACAGGAAAAATTACTTTAAAGAAGGTGATTATCTTTATCCAAAATTTGATGCCGTTGAAGCTTATCGAAGAGCTTTGAAGACCTGGGCAAAATGGATTGATGAAAATGTTAAACCAGCAAAACAGTTGGTCTTTTATCGTGGATACTCTTCTGCTCATTTCAGGTACAGTGGAAACCTAGTTTATTATCATTAATCAGCTTCAATCTCATTCCATTGCCAAAGACTGCCCCTCCCTATTAAGAAAATTTGCTTTTCACAAAAGAGGTTGAATGCCTGTTCTTTTTTTGCTCTAATTTATTTGTCTGTTATTCCCCTTCATAAGAATTTCGAAACCTAGATAAGCTGTAGGCCAGTTAAGAGTTCCGTTTTCATTATGGAAGATAAAATATATTTCCCTAAATAAATTGGATCTAGTAGGGATTGGACTTTGGTTTTATTTTACACATGCATTTTATGTTTCTAAATTAGAATGAGAATTTCAAAAGCATGCCTATAGTTAATTTGGGTGGTTCCAAAATGATAGAATAGGTTTGGTTCCATCACAATATGCTTTCTCTTGCCATTTTCTTCAGTTATTGCAGCTTCTAAATTTTCATAAACGCTAGATTTCCAATGTTAATCTGTTCTTCAATTTTTGTATGAACTATAAGTTCTTGAAGGGACTTGTCCTTACCTATATGTTTTAGAGAATTTTTATATTCATTTCAAGAGGATGGTAATTTTTCAATTAGTGTAGCACCCTGACCAGACCCACAGATTTTAACTCCTTCACTAAGTTCAACTGCAATCTTTTTGATGTTCATAAATTTGAGTTCTGATATTTCTTCTACCATTTTATAAGATTGAGGATTAGCAGCAGCATATGTTTTAGTTCCAACATCTTCAAACACATTTTTAAATTAATTAGTCCCAAATCTTTTTAGCAGTGTCACTTTTACAGTCTACATCATATAATTCATTACTCATGGAATTCAAAATATAATTTTTGCGCTGGTAATTAGCATTACCCCAAACTTTATTACTTACAGATCTAGCCAGGTCATCATTTTCTTCACATAACCTAGGTTCATTCAAGACAAAATAATTGATTTAAAGCAAACAAAAAATTTTGACGCTGACATTTAAAGTTATTGCCATCAAATATTTTAATGTTAATAGCTCATATAAAAAACTCACATTGTAAATTTACGTAATCAGTTTTAAGGTTGTTAGAGTTTTAGGTGCTTATTAAATAATTAAGCTAACTAAAAAAAATGAAAGTATATTTATATTTGTAAACTTATCTTTAAGACTGAGGCGTGGTACCATTGCCCTTTCTAGATTATATCTGGGGGTGCAAGCATAACTACAGTGGTGGTCGGGTTTCAGGATTCAGCAGCCAATAAGCTCCATAACCTTGCACATCTTCTGTAGAGATTGAACAAATAGTCCTAGATCGTACCAGCTCAATATTAGCTGGACTATTTATATAGTGTAGAATGTAGATTATAAAAGGGATTTAAGGGAAGGCAATTATTTGTTTAATTGGACAAGGGGGTAGCTAAAGATAAATTGACTAAGCTTATCTATTTGTAGGCGACAACACATGAAGTTTACTTCCTTGTTTCAGGGCCTATTTTCTTAGTTGGATGTTGCTAATATTGATGACATTTGGTTGTTATGTGTCATAAGATAGCTATATGCTTGTCATCTCTTGACAAATGGACCTTGGTGGCATGTAATATTGTGAATGGGTGGCACTTGGCTAAATTTGTCCCAATAATTTGAGTTCATATAAATAAAGAAATTAAAGGTTGACACATGATGAGCCACGTGTCAAGGTGTCACATGAATACTTGTCATCAAATTCCATTTGTCAAGCAGTGATAGAGCATTTAGGCACTTAATGACACATAGTAGTCAAATGGCAGCAAGTGCCATCTCACCTTGCTAGGACAGGACTCTTTTCTTGATAGGTGTCAACTAGATACACATTATTGCTTAGTAAGCTTAAACCCATTACCTATAAATAGATTTGCTAGTTTAGCTAATCATATGTACTAGCTTCTTTCACCCCTCGTTTAATAGCTTTAGCTTCATCTATACCGCCCCAAATTCGGTCTTATACAATAATAATCTTCTCACATACTACATCAAATAAAATAGTTAGTCTAATATGAGCTGGTGAGATCTAGGACAATTTGTTTAATTTCTAAAGTCCACATGTAAAGATTATTGTTTGTTGAATCTTGGAAACTAGATTTCACTGAAATCCTGCTTGCACTCAAGATATTATCCGGAGAGAGGGGAAACTGGTTTTGAGGACAGCGATCATAATAGCCTTTAGCCTTAAGGTGTGTGTGTGTGTGTGTATTACAATTAGCTTAATTAATGAGCACTATTTGCTCCAACATATTAGACTGCCTAGTAAGGATGATTCAAGGGAATCCAAATCAAGGGAATCCAAATCCCCTGCCCCGTTTTGTGCCCCAACTCTCACAAATTGCCATAGGTCTATTTTTCTATTATTGAGTTAATACATGTTTAGGTTGAATGTTTTAGCCCCTCTTGCTCGCTCATACTTTTTTCCATTCTTTCTCTCTTCACAGCTCATTTTTATTAAGTTTTCCCTCTTTCTATCTTTCTCCCCTGCCATGACAGATGCGGTTTACTTATCATTTAAACCAGCTGCAAATTTAACAATCATGCCAATAAGTATGGAGAATACTACAAATAGCATTGGTCTAACCCCTTTCTTCTCCAAATAAAAGAAAACCTTTAACAATCAAAAACCCAGTAAGTATGCCAGTAAGCTGCGAATTTAACAAAGGAAGCTGGTTGGTCTGATGCAGCTAAGTATGCAGAATACTACGAGTAGCATTTGAATTTTACAGATTGGTGGATTTCAAATTGTTTGTAAAGACAAAATTTGATTTTCAAATTTCTATTTTGTCTAACCAAAATGACAAAATCTATTTTGTCTATTGACAATCCAATCCAATCCAAGTCAATCAGTATAATCTGAAGTGAACTCTTCTTTTGCTTAGGATTCTCTGTTAATGGGTGGTAGGTATCTAGGATTAAAAAACCATCAGAAGAAGTGAATGTAATTGGTGTAAAAGGCAAGCTGCAACTGGATGAAAATGAGGGAAAAAATATGAGAGAGAAAGAGGGAACAAAATTTATAACTAAATATGTATTAACTTAATAATAGAAAAATAGATACGTTGTAATTTGTGAGAGTTGGGACAAAAAATGGGACAGGGGATTTGGATTGGGGAATGAGGGTAGGGGATTTGAATTTGACTCAAGGTCCTCTTAGAAACTGGTGGATTATTGATCCTAGAGGATAGGATGATGGGTTAGATGCTTCTATTATATATCCCGATTTACCCCTAAAAAGTTGCATCTTTGAAAATTTTTATTTAGTATTTACTTGTATGGGGAGGGGTAATTTTGACCATTGACAAAAACATTCTATCTTACCCTTAATCTTGCATAATAAACAGAAAAGAAGATGTCATGGTCTAATCTAATCCACTTTCTTATCTTGTTCCCATCTTTCTCATTTTGTTTTTTACTAAACCAATCCTTAAAATACTATATATAAGATATTTCTTTTAAGGAGAATATACACAAATTGTGTTACACCCTTCTATTTTAAACCACACAAGAGTTGATACATATTAATTAACTGCAATGCATCTCGTGAGATTTTCAGAGTTTTAATTGTAGTTTGTGTGGTGATAATGTGCCAATCCAGGTGAGATCATCTCATAGTTTACACTTTTGAAAAGTAATATGTACCACCTCTATTTCGATTTACACTCTCATTTAAACCATAAAGTTCCTATGAAGACAATCAAGGTGATGTTCTTGGAGACTAGATTAATAAAACTAATTGGGGGAATGGAACAGCCATTCCCTTCCTATTCCTAATCCTTCTTTAACACTTTATTTGGTTGGAAGGAATGCTCATTCCTTGGAATGGCCATTTAGGGAGATGAGAGAATAGCCTATACCAGGAATAGAGTAAAACCATCAATGGACAAAAATGTCCATTAACTTGAAAAATTACCATATTATATAAAATATATTTTATTCATTTTTAACAATCTCTTTCTCTCTCTACCCACTACCTCTCTCATTCTCTCACTAAATTAAAATGAATTTAAAATTTAAGAATAAAAAGAAAAAATTAAAATGAATTTAAAATAAAAAGGTTTAAATTTTAATTATACATTATAAAAAGTTAATGTTTTAAACTTAAAAATTAAATTAAAATTTTAATTATAAATTTTTTATATTTTAATATTTTGAAAATAAAGAATAAAATAATAAAATAATGAAATTAATGTTTTAACAATAAATATTTTAATTTAAAAATGAAATATTATAATAAATGGTATTTGTGTCATTTATGAGTTATTCCTTTGTTATTCCTAAAACTATTCCTGTCAACCAAAGATTAAAATAATTAATAATAGCAATTCCTTTCCTATTCCATTCCCATGAACCAAATTATATAATAATTATTTATCTCTTATTTTATTCTCACGGAATAGTTATTCTATTCCCGCTCTATTCCTTTCTACGAACCAAACACCCTAAATGCAATAATCCAGAAAAGAACCTAGGGAGGGAACATAAGCATGATTTGGGAATCTGTTCCATATGTTCACAGGCATAACAAAGAAGCAATTCACAATCTAAGATCAAAGATTAAATTGTCATTGAACTCTCCCCAAAACCCTAATTTCAACCAATCACTCATCTTGGTGCTTTTTTTTCTCACTTCCTTGGTGAAGGCTCCACATTCAAACCTTGAAGGAATCTTTTTGTATTTAATTTTGTGAAAACATAAAATATGTTTTTTATATCTAATTTGAACCCTAAAGAATTAGATAATCTAACATTGGCTTGAAATTCAAGCCACAATTTAACTAATCTTCAACTTAGCTTTAACTCTTTAAGCCAACTATTTTAGGCAATTTCTTCAATGTGTACTAACCCACCACTAGATCACTACACCAAGCTCCAGAAGAAACCATCAAGCTTGAGCCTTAATCCCAATCTTCTCTTGTAAAGCAACCATAGCTTATCACACCTTATTCTCATTTTGCTCCTCAACAAAAACAATGCATTTGTCAACTATGCTGACAAACAGCACTTGTCTCTGCCATCAAGTGATATAGAATACAGGGTTCCTTTACCATTACATGCTAACACAAGCTTCACCTTGTTGCAAGGTCCATGGCCTCACTATGTAAACAACTCTTTGACTGCTCTCCTGATCATCTTGCATTCTAAATGACAACCTTGTTGCATAGAAGGGTCATACACCATGACCTTCTAAAACCACATGCTTAGTTTAGAATATGCAACATGGTCTATCTTTAAGCTTCCCATCCCTTGCTTGAATTATTGAACAACTCTGATGTCCCAACCACTAGAAGTTCCAAAAACCGTTGCACTTGAAGGAGATTAATCTACACTGTAAGACTATATAGTATCAACTCTAACGCATATCAATCCACAAAAATGGCAAGCATTTCCACGTAGGATGTTCGAAGGAAGAGATCACTGTTCCATCTTAAAACTATGTGTTGAACTAGTGTTTTCTTGATTTTTGATTTCTAATAGCAAAATCCTCCATGCTCACCTTTCCCAAGCAAACTATGGACTCAAATGCTACAATTGGCCAGTGCCCAAATTGAATTTAAACATTGCCTCAAACCATGGAATGTAACACTTCCCACTGAGAGCAAAAAACCTTCACACCAAGATGGACAAACACAGCTGCAACCAACCATGCTTCCCAAGCTAGCAAGACCACTCTTCAATTGGAGTGAAGCCTTCGAACCATTAAAATAAGCACATCATGATTTTGTTCAAACAACAAATCAGTTCCACTTTCGGCTAAAGCACTTAAAAATAGTTCTCATGATGACTTGTAGTTTTCCTAACCAAATGACCTTGAAAATGATAGAGACCTCTGGTTTGGATACCCTTCATGTAGACCTGAGAGCCACCAAACTTATTAAGAACACAAAACCTTGCTTCTCTAACAAAGTCAATGATAACAAATTTCCCCTCAAATATGGAATGTGATTGACCGTGAATTCTTTCATCATATCATCATGGATCTTGAATCAAATTCCCACACCAACAATAGGTAAATCATCCCTTAAAAAAAACTGTTTTGGTTTTGGTTTCAATTTCATAGGTAACAAACTACTCCCTCCTACCACACATGATTGGGGCATTGCCAAATCAAGAAAACATTTTGTATTAAATTTGGGACTGAAAATAAGAGAACATGAATGGGCTTGAGATTCAAGCCATGCTCTTTTTTGTTACTTTGATGAAATTTATCATAGTTTTTTTTCTGTAAAAAACATTTTTGTGATAGGGTATAATACTTGTTTGGATTTAACCCTGAACCCGTCTGTCCTCTTGTACCCTTATCCTAAAAGAGGGGAAAAGAAATAGAAAAGCGGGGGAAGTGAAGGAGGAGGGGAGAAGTTGTGAAATTGTCTATTTTTCATTTCAAGAACACATTTTGTCCTGCAATACTGTTAATGCAATTATCTACTCAACAGCGGTCCACATCACCATTAGCTTTCACATTGAAGAAATTTAACACTAAAAAACTTTGAATCCTTGAGTCTCAATAATTCTTGAATGAATAAAGCAATATTAACATGCTAAATTATTTAATTAAGTAAATGCATGTAAGAAAATAAGATTCATGTGATTCATTATTTTATTTCAAAATGAAAATCCATATACTGCTCACTTGTTTACCATTTGGTCAGAAGGGTATGTGATCAAAGTATTCCTACCTTTTACACATAAGTTATAATGTAATTTATATAAGGTATGCACTACACAAGTGTATGCAGATTGTTGTAGATATAGGTTTATATTGGCTAATTAATTTTAGTTTCTTGAAATAGAGGTGGAGATTGGGACTCAGGTGGATCCTGTAATGGGGAAACTGAACCAATCTTGAGTGGAGCCTTCCTTGAAACCTATCCTTTGAAAATGAAGATAGTTGAAGAAGTGATTCAGGAAATGAAGGTTCCTGTGATACTGTTAAATGTAACGAGGTTGACCAATTTTCGCAAGGATGGCCATCCATCTATCTTTGGCAAGAGATTAACAGAAGGGAAAAAAGTTTCTACAAGGCGGCAGGATTGCAGCCACTGGTGTGTCCCTGGGGTTCCTGATACCTGGAATGAGCTGATCTATGCCACTCTGTTTTTCAACAAACAATTTTAAAGAGGTGATAAGTTTCAACAGCTAGATTTGAATTTTATTCGGAAAACAAGAACAGAATAATTTATTGATTCAAAAACAAATATTTATGTTTGTCCCTGCTTGCACCAGGATAACTTGCAACAGTATGGTACAATTGGTATGTGGCCGCATGGAAGGATGAAACCAGGGCTGTGTAGCTGGCAGATGAACCAATGTGCAATAGCTGCTATCAGAACATCTGAAGATAGTTGTGGTGGATTAGATGGGTAATGTAAGAAATTCAAGTTAGCATTGAGCAAAGAACTTGAAGGAATAGGACGCATACCCTGGGTATTGGAAGGAGAGAAAGCAGAACGCTAGCACATTGAAACGAGGTATTCATGTTAGTCTTGCAAGCTTGGTCTTCCATGGGAGGTGGCTGGCTGAAGAAAACCTGCGTGTGCATTACGCATGCACATCACACATAATTTTCAAAGGACAACCAGGAACCAATGAACACTTCTAAATCTTTGTTCAAATTTTTATCTAACGCTGGAAGTTTAGCCAATTCCAAGTACCTTTTAGTTATTTTTGAATGAAACTCATCTTACATCATTCATCATTTGCAGAGATGGTAATCAAATTTTCATAAAAAACCACACACTCTCTCTCAAATCTGTACAAAGAGAGATTCTAATGTAAGAACTCGACAACTGATTTCTGCCATATATGATTTGTTGTGCTCATGCTTGGGCTAGTCTGCCGCTTACTTAGATAGTAAGCAGCTGTCCAACGGTCAACAGTTTGGAGACTTAACAGGAAACCTAAAATAGTACGACTTACATTTAAGATATTATCTTTTGCGCTAAGGCATGGGAAAATTCCCATTTGTTTATTTGTATTCATTTTATGATTGTTTCTTTTGACTTGCTTAATTAGTAGTAATGACTTGCACGTGAAGGGGGTGTCACAAATAGAGCTACTCATATATAGAGGATCACCGGTCAGGCCTTATTAACATTTGAAGGCCTAATCCTGAGTCCAAGTTCGACCCAACCTGCCTAGTCCATTTATTAACTATTAAATTTGTGATATTTTTGTTACTATATTTCAATATTAAAAGTAAATAAAAGTATATTTTCTATTAAAATAATAATATCTTCAGACCGGATCCGAGTCTAAAATTGAGGCTCAAGCCTTGCCCAATTTGGCTTTTGAGCCTAAACGAGCAGCCCGGTTGTTGGATATCTCTAATCATATGCTCTGCAGGGATCTCAAACGTTTTTGAGTGTATTCCACTATCAATAGAAACCAAAAATATCATGTAGAGAAAAAAAAAGTATAATTGCCCCAGATTATAATTTTGAAAAGATTTGATATATTAAGGTTCAACTCAATCATTTATGGGCTTGAGTAATAAGTTTGAAATTTGATTCGAAGTCGAATTTAAAATATAAATAAAATATGAAAAATATGTAAAGAATATAATATTTTATTTATTTAAATAAAACATTAGTGTTATGAAATAAATATAAAAGAACAAAATAAAAAGTGTTTAGAGGGAGTAAGAAGATTTTATTCAAGTACATATTTACAAATGAAGTGAAAAGGCCTATTTATAGGCTAATAATCTCTTATCTAGATTGAATTTACAAGATAAAGATAACATTTAGGGATTAAATGGATTAAATTCTAATCTAATCTAATTTACATCAAATCTAGATAAAGATAACATAAATAGATATTCACAAAAATATTCACAACACTTGCCCTTAAATATCTATTGTATTAAGAATATCCCTCGTTAAAACCTTATAAGGAAAAACTCTCATGGGAAAAAAATCCAAGTGAAGAAAAAAGAGTACATAATCTTTTCAAGAATACGCTTTGAAATACTGTCTCATTAAAAACCTTATCAAGAAAAATTCAGTAGGAAAAACCTTGATGAAGGAAAAGAGTACAATACGTATTTTACTCATCTTGATGACTACATTATAAAGATCTTTAAAATGATGCATTCCAATCTTTTATACCAACTTTTCAAATGTTGTAGTAAGAAGGGCTTTGGTGAACAAATTTACTGGATTGTCACTTGACTGAATTTATTGAATACTAATTTCACTTATTTTCTTGGAAATCATGAGTGAAGAAGGATTTTGGCCAATTATGTGTTTTATTCGATCGCCTTTAATATATCTTTCATTTAACTGTGCTAGACAAGCAGTATCATCTTCATATAACGTTATTAGAATTTCTTTCTTGGTTGACAATCCACACGTTTTTCAAATACGTTGAGTTACAGATCTTAACAAGACACATTCAAGACTTGCTTATGAGTTACTAAAATTCCTTCATCGTTAGGAGAAATAGCAACTATAGTTTGCTTTATAGAATGCCATGAAATAGCTATACCTCCATATGTGAACAAGTAACTTGTCTAGGATTGAGCTTTGTGAGGATTAGATGAATATTCTGCATCTGCATAGCTAATTAAAATTTATTTTGATGCATTTGAATAATGTAATTCCATATCCATTGTTCCTTTGAGATATCGAAGTATATGTTTAATTCAATTCCAATGTCTTCGAGTTGGAGAAGAACTATATCTTGCTAATAAATTCATAGCAATTCATATATTAAATTTTGTATTTCTAGCAAGATACATTAGTGCTCCAATTGCAATAAGATACAATACTTCAGGACCAAAAAGTTCTTCATCATCCACATAAGGTTGAAAAAAGTTCTTTTTCACATCTAATGACCTTACAGTCATTGGTGAACTCAATGAATATGCTTTGTCCATATAAAATCATTTTAGCACTTTTGCTATATAATTTGATTGATGGACAAAAATTTCATTTGTCAAGTGTTCAATCTGAATACCTAAATAAAACTTGATTTTTTTAAGGTTTTTCATATCAAATTCTCTCTTTAAGTAATCTACGACTTTTGATAACTCTTTAGGAGTTCCAATAATGTTCAAGTCATCAACATAGACAGTAATTATTATAAATTCATATCTAAACCCTTTTATAACATACATGGGCATATAGGATTATTTTTGTAGCCTTCTTTCAACAAATATGGTCTAAGACAATTATACCACATGTGTATGGATTGCTTTAATCCATATACATATTTATTTAATTTGATCGAATAAATTTATCGAGAATTAAAATTTTGTGCTTCAGGCAACTTAAATCTTTTTAGAATTGTCATATAGATATCGTTATCAAAAGAGCCATATAAATAGATTATAACTACACTCATTAGACGCATTTTACTGTTCTCATTTATTGCCAGACTAGTTAATATAGAATTGTAATTGTATCCACCACAGAGAATATCTCTTCATCTTTAATACTAGATCTTTAGAGAAAACCTTATGTGACAAGCAGTACTTTATACCTTATAATCTTATTTTTCTCATTTTATATTCACACAAGTACCCATTTATATCTCATTAGTTTTACATCATTTGATGTACGGACTACAGGTCCAAAAACTTCACATTTTGCAATTAAATTCAGTTCTACTTTGATTACGTCTTTCCACATTGGCCAATCATTTCTATGTTTACATTTTTTAATAAAAGTTCAAGATCCTCATTTTTCTTTGACAATATTAAGCTCTATATTATATACAAAATATCGTTGACATTTATTTACCGGTTTCATCTTTTCCCATCATGACATAATTGATTGATATCTCTTCACTTTCAATGATTTCAAGTACTTGAATTTCTTTTGGAATTTTTCTCAATTATGTTAACGGTCTCTTCTATAATTTCTACTTCCTCTTTTTGACCATCTTAAATATTTGCTTCTTTTCTTTTTCGAGGATTTTATCTTTGGAATCGATTGGTCTCCATGCTTCTGGAGTGCCTTGTCCTACAGGGACATCAATGCTAATAGGAGCATTTGCAGCTTAATTATTCTTTTAGGTCAGTAAATATGTTTTGCAACTGATTTACTATATTTTGTAAAATAATAATCTTTTAAACTTCAAGTTCATATTGATTTTTGCGAGGATTAAAACTAGATAATGATAATTTATTGTAAGAAATTTTCTTTTGCAGCTGCTTATTTTTTTCCCCCTAATGTTAAAAAAATTGTTTCATCAATATGACAATTGACAAATTTTATCATGAATAAATCTTCTATTGATAATTCTAGATATTTATTACAAATGGAGATTTATATTTAATATATATTCATAATCTCCATTAAGGACTTATCTTTGTGCATTGTGGTGGAGCAATTGAAACATATACCACACATCTAAAAATTCTTAGATGGGAAATATTTGGTTTCTGACCATATACCAATTGTACAAGGAGAATTTATAATAACTCGTTTGGCCTGATGCATACAAATGCTGCTGTATCCAAAATGGCATGCCCCCAAGCAGTCATTGAGAGTTTGAATTTCATAAGTAATGGCCTTGGAATCAGTTGGAAGTGTTTAATAAACGATTCTATTAGACTGTTTTGTATATAAACATAAGCAACAGGCTAGTCAATAGTTGTTCCAACTAATATGCAATATTAAAGGCTTGAGATGTAAATCCACCAGCATTGTCAAAACAAATAATCTTGATTATTTAACTAGAAAATTATGCTTAAAACGAATTATTGCAAATGTCAAATTGTCAGCTGATAATAAGCACACATGTAACCATCTAGTCGATGCATCGATTAAAACCATAAAATATCTAAATAGTTCATATGGTGGATATATGAATCCACATATAACCTTAAATATTATTCAAATATGCAGGGAATTGAATCCCAACTTTAGCTGGTGATAACCTTATAATTTATTTACCTTCAGAGCAAGAAGCACATAATATTCATTAGATTGAAAAATCTTTTGGTTTTTCAGTGAATGCTCATATAAATTTTCAATCAATTTTTTTTGACATCATTATTGATCCGGGATGGTCTGACCGGTCATGCCAAACATTAAAATCATTAGTAAACTTCTAGTTTATTATGGGTTTTAATTATTCTATTATTTGTATAGTTTAATTCTAAAAACAGAGTAAGTAATTTTTTTTTCAACACACACTTTCTACTTGAGATAATGGATATAACATAGAGGTATTAAGTGTCTCTTTCTTTCGTTGTCTCAATATTATATCTATCTAAACGAATATCTTTAAAACGTAATAAACTTCTTTGAGACTTAATAGAAAATAATACATCCTTTATTGCTTTATTCCTCAAGGTAGTAATATATTAGCTCTTCTGGAGCCTCCAATTAATCTTGTACTATTAGATATTGAACTGACATTTATTTTTTTTGTCAGGTAGGAAAAATATTTATTGTCTTTAAATATAGTGTGTGTTGTAGCAATGTCTACTAGACATATATTTACATTATTGATCTTCGTCCAACAAGATCAATATCTATATTTTCTTCAATAAAATAAAATATATATAATAAGAAACTTGCAAGTTAACATAAAAAATATTAAGTATGGAATCAAAACGCATAATAAGAATATATCATTTAAATATAATGAAAACATATTAAAACATCTTCATAATATAGTTGTAATAAATATACCAATTACTATTAAGTTCATTCTCGGATATTTCTATTACCAATCAAATGATCAATTCCTTTTTTAGGATAAGAAAATCAATAATAGATATATTTATTACCAATCATATAATTAATTCCTCTTTCAAGATGGACAAATATCTTGATGTGCCATATCAACTTGGCCATAATTAAAATTATCACAAGATGTTTCAATTTTTAGTGATGCTTGATAAAATTTAAGACGTACAACGGGTATATGACCAATGATCTTTTATGTCCCATCAATAGCAATATG